GAATAAAACTTTTCATACTAAGATGTTGCGTTTTGCTGCATATGTGCTCAGAGCAATAATTTACCTAATCCGCCGTTATTTTTTGCGGTCCGTCTTAATTAATCTTCTTTCTAAATTTTTGAGCTTTGAACTTTGAAAATGCTGCGTAATGTCTTCAGAGGTGGGTTTGAGTACGTTGGTTGAGAAATCGGGGGCTGTACCCTTTTCATTCTGCAATGTGTTTGAGAAAGCACTAAAATAAATAAATGACGTGTAGCTGGTGGTATTTGTGCCTCCACTCAGTAATCGAAGAATCAATGCTGTTTTGCTTCACGAATGAGTGTACTTCAGATGCAGCAGACGGCCTTCCTAAACAAACGAAAAGTCGAGGAATCCGAAGAAGCTAGTAAACTGAGTGTGTTTCCTAATAAATACAGCACGCGGAGCACCGGCTGTCCAGTGTGGTTTTGTTTGAGACGCCACGGGGAACATCTCGCAGATAGCTCTTATTGTCTTGGACGCAACCATAAGTTTTCTAAGTTGTACGGTTGGCTTCCGGCATATCGATGGCTAACTGAAGAGACCATGCCAGAATTTGGAACACTGTCGTGTGAAGTGCGGAATTTTGTACCCGAGGAATTCGGCAAGATCCTTGCCACTCGAGATATCTACAACTACCGCCGGAAGTGTCCATCAGCTCTTTTGAGTAGGTCCCGGATAGTTAGGTCTTATTGTGACAGATGATATGCCTTTAGTCCTGGTGAAAATTCAGGAGACCAAGCGCGCACTTGCGCTGCCGTTAGGGGACACCTTTGCTTTTCCAGATGGCGGCAGATAGCGTTGCTTCGACGCCTTTCATATGTAGTAAATATAGACGGAATGCACGTGACAAACCATTTTGGGTACGCTTTTTAAAGCATCTAATATTTGACCTGCAGATACAAGAGTTATACCTTCTTGATAACGGAGGGCATGGTACCGGGCATCCAGTAGTGTATGCCTTTGTGAAGAGTGAGCAATTGCTCCTATAATCAAACAGTTTGACTTAGTTATCGAAATGCTGGGGGTAGCAATATCAAGTTAGGACTTTCTTCATGAACAAGTTGATCGCGCAATTGCGGGCTGCAAGAGTCGTGTTCGGCTGCGAAGTAATGTGTTCTACTTTCATATTTAACAAGCTATCAGAAAGCACATATATCTCATAAAACAGCCATGTGTTTTTGGCCACAGACGCATTCTGCGAATAGCCGGCATACGTTCCACCGCATGTCTTGATTTGACAATGCAGTTCAGTAGGTTTTTTGTTTGTCATAACACGAGCCCACAGATTCCGGCGAAATCTGAAAGCTGCGCCTTTCGGACCAGCACTTTGTCTCTTATCTTACGACCTAGATGTTGCATATCGCCCGAAAATGGACACAATGCGGGTGACGCACCCGAAAAACGTCTTATGCTGTTGGCCTGGACTGAGGTACAGAATCCCAACACAGAGTGTCCTGGAAGTCTTTGTGTGTCCATACTCTCGGGTCCAAGTAAGAACTATTCCACAGCTGTAAAGGCCTGACTACTAAGACTACTAAGACTGCAGAGAACCAGCTAGAGTAAAGGCACGAAGATGGTTTAATGTGACCCATTAGCACCAAACAGTTTGTATGTTAATGAGACCTCGTCATTTTCGTGTAAGTCTCGTATTTCTTGAGGCTGGCAGTCAGTAGACACGCGAAATAGCCGCTGAAGATGGCGCCGCTTAAATGAGTTTCGACGACACTGCAGCCACTGAAGTGCTCCCATTGGTGTAAGTATTGCTCCCAGTTTGTCAGCTTCCCGCCTCGTGGTGATACTCCGATAATCTAACTCGTATCTTTCCCTCATTCTAGGAAAGCAGTAGCTCCATGAAAACTCCGCACGAAGACCATACGCTTTCCGACAGGGGCGTATGTGCCCATCCAAACGGCCAATAAAGTTCAACTTTTCTTCATATCCAAGGATGACCTTCAACTTTCCTCGGTACGTATGGATGCTCGTGCTAGCATCGTATACCTCTAGCCGAATGCTCGCCGCTTTCGTCATCTGGGCTCGTTCAGCTGCCCGCTATGTTCGACGTCATGGTCCTCCTGGCATGGTTCATAGGTGACAATGGAATAACATGCCGGGTAACAACAGAATTACACGATTCTCCGGCAATATTGAATGCGTCTGTCGTGATTTTAGATCGTTATAGCAAATATCGAGCAAAAATTGTTTACGAGAGTAGCACCCCCGCAAACTTTGAATTTACAAGGACCATGTAGATTTTTAAGTATTCGGCGAATTATTTCAGCTACAAAACTGTCCGAAAGTACCGTCCTTTTTAGGTGATTCGCTTTTTTCCGCAACTCGTTAGAATGAAGAAGCACGAAGGCCGGGATATCGCCAGGCTGCCCAAGCCTAGATAGTGGAAGTCGAGAACCAGAGGTCAGGTTCGAACCACGGACCTTCAGGTCAGTAATTTTGCGCTCTAACCACTTAGTTATCTCGCCCTTTTATCTCACTTACCTTTGCTACTTGTGATGAACGCTGGGCCAGTATTTATGCGTACTGATGAGTACGAGGTCTAAGCTGTGCACAAAGACCTCTAACGGCGAATGACGCCATACTCATAACTTTACAGGACATTGCCTACCTTGGAGAGTTTTTGAAACTGCTAGGCAATGCCTATATTCGACGCTGACGGCTAGGCCTCAACTATGCGCGGTGTCCTTAGCTAGCGGCCAACGACGGCCCTCCATACTCGTTCCTGTAGTTGATATCGGCCACTTTGGCTGCTTATCGTAATCTCTAGACCTGTGTCTATGTGCAACGCTGAGTATGAGTTCTCAGCTATATCCATTGGCACAGTCCAATCGCCAGCGACGGCCCATCATACTCATAACTGCACTTGATGTCGATTGCAGAGGATAATTATAGTAACTGCCGGGCCCATGCACATGCTCACAGTTGACTATAACCCCCAGCTATACATAATAGACGAATCTAACGACCGGCGGCGGTCCTTCATAACCATACGTCGCCCACCTTCCAACCCTATACTTAAAAAACACGCACCATGTTTCTATTTACTGGTTGCTGCGGTACAAACATAATGTGTGGTTAATCCAGTTCTCTGGTTTTACTCGAAGAACGTATATGAAAAAAATATGAAAAAAGGTACGACTCGTACACATGTTCCGCGATGTCACTTAAAACACAGTTAAACAAAGTTGTCGTGGCTAGCTCACTAAGTGCTTGATAAATCGCCTTGCCCACAATTCCCGGTCGGTGTCCGCGCTAAACCTGGAGTCCTACTGCTACAAAGTTAAACTAACTATTCGCTCAGTTAGTCCAATTGGTGATAACGAGGGAGCCGTATGTACATCGATGATTCGATATCGGCATTCGGTAACAAGATGCATTGTTTTGCGCAGACAATTTAAAACTAAAGAGTTATGTATACTTGTCAGTTATAAGACCGAGTCGAGTAGAATTGAGCATCAGGATCCAAGGGCCACGGGTGTCCTCAACAGCTTTGAATGTACATGAAGCACTGCACCAAACCCAGCATCTCGACTGCTCCCTTCTAGGCTCGGGTCACCTGGCAGTACCTCAGCCCTCATGCTTCCCTTGGGTGGCATGGTAGCTAGGCGCCAGAAGGATATTATAACTGAACCACTATTTATTATCGTTACTATAGTATCGCACGTTTTAAACCGAGGTCGAATGGTAGACATTAAAAGAAGTATATCGGAAAGAGTATTGCGAGACACTAAAATCACGAGGTCTTGCATAAATTCTAGGCTAGAATACGAATGTAGTCAAATCCGAGATGCATCATCTGCTGAGCCTCATGTGCAGCAGTACGTAGTTGACTTGGACAGTGCGTTCATTCCTAACAACCGGTGACTAGGGTTGAGTCTTCAGACCCAGTGTGTACACGGGATGTGTGGGTAAATCTAGTCAAACAGATTGTTTTGATCGAAAAAAATTGTTTTGTTAGAAATGCTGTGGCGAGATAGCTCACAAGCGATAGTAGGTTGGAGAGACTGACAGAGGGAAAACTTTGGTGTTTCATAATCCAATAACGAGTCATATCTTACTCTAGCATGATACGTCTAACCTTCCGGTCAATATGTTTTGAGATTGTACAAGATGATCATTCCATGGGGTGATTTTCCCCTCGGTGCCTTATAAAGCAGATTACTGTCATCCGCATTGTATGGTTGTGTCGACATCTGAAAACGAGATTGCACATGGCGTTGCTTGCCCCTACAATCTAAGGGGGGTGTTTTCCACAGAACGGTACCACCTAAGCGATACAGAGGCACTGGGTGAGTGCTTCAGATTCAGAGGGTGGTCCCTAAAACTGAAGGGATTAGCTCTATCACCTGCGTGGTGAATTAGCGTAACCCATTTCGGTTTTACTAGTGCCGAGAAAGCTAGACTGACGATGCTGCCGTGGAAGACTACAACGACCTCCAATTTGAGATAAGCTGTGCGCCTAGCGATTCACTACGTGCTACTTTATTACGCCTTTTCGAATAATAGGAATGTGTTTTGAATAGGCCGACATCCTTAGACCTTAATGATTGAAGCAAACAATTTTTGGGGCCCGTTTAGTCCCAAACTTATCCGATAAGTACGTCTCATAAGCTGTTGGACGGTGCAAACTTCTTTGCCGAACTGTTCCACACTTTCTGAAAAAAAAACAAAGGGTTGATCCCCAACGTGAAGTAACTCCACCGAGATGTCTAGGTAGACAACACCGCATGGTCCCTCACAACTCTATCAGGTTGAACAAGACGACGTATCTTGTAAGTAATATCTTTATAGAATACAGTCTTTGCCGACTGTTCCACACTTTCTGAAAAAAAAACAAAGGGTTGATCCCCAACGTGAAGTAACTCCACCGAGATGTCTAGGTAGACAACACCGCATGGTCCCTCACAACTCTATCAGGTTGAACAAGACGACGTATCTTGTAAGTAATATCTTTATAGAATACAGATCACGAACAAAATGAAGTAGCATGCAGTAATGAAATGAAAATTTCGCATAGAGAGAGAGAGTAGTGGACGACGTCGAGATCAAAACAATGGCAAAAATATATCCAATTCATAGTTGGCAAAATACGTAGGATGATGAAACGTGACGTGGGTTTAGGTCAGGAGTTACATCAAACGTTGCGAGCATAAAGGTCTCCATGGCCGCTCCCAGAAATCTGGTTAGCCAGCACACACAAGTCATGCTACACCGGGGCCAAGATCCAAGTTGAAATTTGGCCCTTCGGCTGTAACACTTTGACTGAAGGTACTATGTTCTTGGAGTTAGCGACGACATGGTAGTTTTGGGAGGGTGGAATTTACTGGTGACACAATTTCCGACAATAAACTTGTTGTTAGAAAAGAACAAGAGGGTATATATACAACGTGCGGTTCAAAGACAGAAGGGGAGATGGGTGCTATTAACAATGAGCAAGACGCTTTGTGGCAAGTTACGTTAAACTTGGCTATTCCCGAAAAACGTTCACGAGCTATCTATATGTATAAAAGAATCCAGGACGCAGAGTTTGGCGAATCTGCGTTAAGTAACGAGCCACCAATTTGTGCGAAAAATTAGAAAAAACGACAAGCGGAATATTGCACGTAACAGCAGTACATTAGATTGCTGTGTTCCTCTAAATTTCGTGGGTGACATCAATGCTCCAGGTGCATGCCCAACTCATTTCGCTTCCTACAGCAGTCGTTCTTTTTTCAGTGGACGTGCAAAGATAAGAAAAACAGAGTCAGAAGAACCAGGAAGAGGAGGAGGACAGCTGAAGAAGGACGAGGTAGTTCAAAAAGTTAATGCGAGAAATCTGGCGCCGATGGCGCATATATTTCACAGTCAGCTGCAGGCTTGAAATTTACATATTGAGTGAACTACTTGTAAGTAGTGCGAACTCAGAATAGAAAACGGCCGGACGCGGCACCGTGTGAGCTGCGGTACGATTCGGCTAGGTAGGCGGATTTGGGATCGCGCCTTTCAGATGCTTGCGCTGAATAGAGTGCGAGATCACGAGGGGATAGGTGTTCGTCCAACTGGCCAGGGTAGTAGCCCCGCGATGTGGGACTTAAGAGATTCTGATAGTGAGAGTGTGCGTTGGACGCGTGTGCAGCTAATCCATGTCGATGTGCCTGCTGCTGTTGGTGGTATTGATGGTAAGCGTAGGCAGCCGCAGCTGCTGCCTCTGCTGCAGCCAGCCCAGAGACCTCATGAATGGAGTGAGCTAGTTGAGTTGCCGTCTGAGGTTGTGAGTGCTCCATTGATCGCGATAGCATGTGATGCGCATGGGAAGACTGTCGAAGTTGCTGTTGATACAAACTGTATGGATCCTGCTGACCCATATAGGGGAACCCATTGGTCCCAAAGTCTCCAGCGTGAAATCCGTGTTCTGTGACTTCTGAATGCGCGTTGGGATGTGTATAACTGTTTGTTTCCGAAGCATGGTAACGATTATATTGGGTGGGAGAGAATGCGTTTCCTGTGTGATGTGAGTAGCTACTGTGTCGGGGTGAGTTATTCGCATGGTTCATTTGATGTACACCTGGTACCGACAATCCGCTGCCACCGAAGTTCTGTCCGTCACATCGACCTAGAGAATGATGAGTAATTGAACAGATCACAGAAAGAGAAAACAGGCTTATTAAAAAATCATTACGATGCTTGAAATGCAGTGTAATGTTTCAAGTGATGTATCCTACAGTGACCCGCCACATAATCACCACCGACGAAGACACTAACCAGTGCACTCCAAAGCCCGACCTACGTTTAACCTCATAAACAGCGAATTTCGTGGTTGTATGGCTGAAATTTGAGTTAATTTCACTACAAGTAGACTAGCGGTAAAACGATATGGACATACGATACTAGATTCCCGACGAGTTCCCTCATGACCAAGCCATCACCTGCCCACAAACGTGAACGGTTCAATGCAGGATAAATTATACATCCAAAGGCCCTCGGTATGCGATGGAGAAGGCTCTGAAAGCAACCATTGGCATGTATTAAGCATGGATTCCTCATGCGATGACTAAAGATCACATGAACCATTAGTTAGCTAGTACAAAAGCAGGAAGATTGACGGTTCGAAAACGTAAGTAGAAGTGCTTTCAGTGCAATTGAGGAGACAGAACGTAGATAAAGATCACTTGACGTTGAACACGTGGTTGGAAGTAAACAAGGGTCAGCCAGGAGTATAGTCGGTTAAATTTCACTACCCTTTAAAAAGACTTGATTGGTCTATAGTTGTACGAACCACACTTTGGACAGGTCGATTTGCAGGAGGAGAGACCGCGCCCTACCGCGTTCCACCGTTCCTACCGTTAGACCACTACATCACAAACAATAGAACTCTGAGAAGTACCTTCGGAAATATGGTTGGAAGTATACTACCCATCCTCAAAAGAGATCCTTGTCAGATGGTTGGGTTCAACTGTGAATACGGAAGCAAGAAAGGTGACATCGCTAGTGATCTACATGTGCAGGAACCTGAAGACACCGGTGTCTATAAAGAATCAAAGTCAAACCAAGGTATGTAAGCAGAGATGCTAATCAACTGTCTATGAGAAAGAAATTTGAACTCAGTAAGGTTAAGAAGCACGCAATGTCCGACTCCCAAACTAACCCGTTAATCTTAAAGGCAAATAAAACTTGTTATTTGGAACTACTATGAAGCGATCGTTATGTTCTGCCTTGGATGACCGATACGATTAGGTTTCTAAAAGTCAGAACGAACACGTTCTAGAAAACTGGGTTGTCACAGTTGGAGTATGTCGTATTGCTCTAGAAGAAATCTCCGATCAATCATTACATATTCCTCTCAAAAGGAACAGTCCAACTGACTAGCCGGTTGATCAAACGTTAACCCATAACTATGAATAAATCGTTATGTAAAGAGAGGTTGAGGTGACCGTTTGCTGGTATTAACCATCATTGTCCTTTAATGGCATCTGTTGAGGGCGTAGTGGTGGGTGCTGCCATCTGGCGTGTGGGGAAATCTCACCGAATTTTAAGAACAATGTTTATGTAAGGGAGGGCCTCAGCTAATCAATTCAAGATCCTTGAGAATTATTTTGATGATGTGTTCCGTTCGAAAGCTGTAAGTCTGATTCCTGTACGAGCTCTACCCACTTGTTGTTACAGAATGTTCCCCTTCTTTCCTGTGTTAACTAAACTACCTGGATAAACCTCTGACTGCAGATATCTGTCACAAAACATGACGGGGTTTTCAGGCACACCTCCTGGCAACAAGTCGGTTCAGTGTGATTCTTCCGCAATTTAGCGTTCGCTGTGAACATAAAGAGTAGATTATCAGGCCAAACAAGGGGTCTTGTGAGCCCGTGCGGTCAACAGCAGTTGACCCGCGTTCGGTTAATCGGGTTGATAAATTTGAACCTCTTTATTACTAACTACACAAAACTGGCTTTCCCGGGATATTATAGTTCAGTTGTAACAATTTTTTAGTGCCCGGCTGTTATGCCATCCAAAAGAAGCACGAGGGCTAAGATACCGTCTGATTGCCCGAGCCTAGACAAGATTTCGGAAGTTGATTCGAACCACAGACCTACCGATCAGTGAGCTCGCATCCTAAACACTGAGATATTTCGAACTCGAGAAGGATATATAGTTATCGCGCATGCGAAAGAATAGCCTCAAAAGACATCTCCTCGAAGGCTCTAGCAAAAGAGACCACATCGTGATCTTTTCGGTCATTTGCTTCAAACTTTCTTATGGTGTTTAAGTGAATTAAATTGAACCTATCCAAAACATGAATAATCCAAGCTAAATGAGAGCAAAGAAACAGACATTCCGCTTCGACTGAGTCTCCAAACATTATAAAAGTAAGAAAAAATCGACAAGCAACAAGGCCAGCCATCGCCAGTGAGTATGAGAGACTCTATACAGTCCATCCCTAAGGAACGGAGAAAACGCAATTGACTCTGAGTGATTTCCATAAGAAGGTCACTTTCCTTACTAGGTTCGAACCACAGACCGATCAGTGAGCTCGCATCCTAAACACTGAGATATTTCGAACTCGAGAAGGATATATAGTTATCGCGCATGCGAAAGAATAGCCTCAAAAGACATCTCCTCGAAGGCTCTAGCAAAAGAGACCACATCGTGATCTTTTCGGTCATTTGCTTCAAACTTTCTTATGGTGTTTAAGTGAATTAAATTGAACCTATCCAAAACATGAATAATCCAAGCTAAATGAGAGCAAAGAAACAGACATTCCGCTTCGACTGAGTCTCCAAACATTATAAAAGTAAGAAAAAATCGACAAGCAACAAGGCCAGCCATCGCCAGTGAGTATGAGAGACTCTATACAGTCCATCCCTAAGGAACGGAGAAAACGCAATTGACTCTGAGTGATTTCCATAAGAAGGTCACTTTCCTTACTAGGTTTTCTATTATTGCGACGGTTCAAGAAATCATTTCAACTTCGCAAATACAAAAGATAGTACGGCGTTATCCCGCAAAAATATCTCAGAAAGCAACCAGAGAAATGTAAAATCTCTTCCAAATAGCTCTTTTGATACCATGTTGCAAACATGCGGGCGAGTAATTTGCAGATGTCCCGTTTTCACCATTCCTGTCAAGGGAAGCTAGCATTAAAATTCAGCCTGAATCAGGACAGATTTGTACACATCTGCACATTCTACGACCAGACTAAGGGTAGAACATTCTCACTGAATCTGTTCGAAGGATATAGCTGCTCTACAAGGATGGTGGTTTAGTGAAACTTGGGCTCAGACACAAGTAGAGCTTGTCTCACAAGTGCAGGCTAAGTGAATGTAACGCAACCAATCAACTCTTCCTAAGCTTAGAAAATCCGAAACCAATATGGGTTGCGGTGGTATGGTTCTACATGTGACGTAGACATAGAAGACAAGGAAACGTGTGCTCATCATCATCTGGATGGACACGGAAAGGACGTGAGATTCTAGGAGACGCGTTTTACGAAATAGCCAACAGCGGAACCGATGAATTGTGACAACTGCATGTCCTCCAAATTTACATATGAACGGCCACAGTATGTTTACAGACACACGGAATGGGTCAGGTATCGGGCCACGACTTATTCAGTGGTTAGCACTTTAGTGGGTTCAGTCCAATGCAGCTTGCGAACAGACAAACAAACATACAGTGGTAGGTAATATAACAGATAGCACAAATCACATCCAGTGTCCGGATACGATCGATAATCATAAGCTATGATTACGACGGTGTTTCCCACAAAAGGAAAACGAAATCAGTACACCGATCCAGAAGAAGCTTCGGAAGTGGCTAAGCCAGAACATGTCCAAAGGTTCGTCATGATTGCAGGAAACGGTGCATTATTTGAGCACACGAATCAAATTTATTTATTTGCTGTGGCAAATCCCAACAAAGAATGAATTTGGGCAGCTATTGTTCCATATAAACCATGGAAATTCGAAGCTTTCCTTATGGATTCTAAACATTGCTGATGCAAGAGTAGCGTTCCAGAAGAGAACCGCTCTGTACTGGTGCAATTGAAGGATCGCTTTCCGGCGAACAGAAACAGCTACAAAATTACATGCACTACATAGGACAAAGGGCTGGAGAACTTCACACCAGAGTCGGTGAGCACAAGAGAAAAATAAACAGGCCGCCATAAAAAATACACGAATATCGAGCGTTACTCCAAAACTCAGCAACGATAGGGACAGTGATATGTACCACACAGACTGGCGTTAAACATCTCCAAGAATCCCAATGTGATTGAAATAGAAGGCGTACTGACAAGCGTGTGCGGAACGGTTCAGACCCAGTCGAACGGAGACGTAGTGGTGGGCGGTTATCAGCGAAGAGTCGTTGACAGAAGTAGCTTAGATCTGAATGGCACAGACGGAGCCGACCGAAATTCCACGTAATTTCACCCCCTAGATATCGTGGCCAAGAGCTGTCACTTTTCTGGAGCTCACATGTGACGTAAAACCCTGGACGGTGAACGTCGTAGCCCAAAGTTGTCGAAGGTGCATGTCTGCATATGTTGTCTTAAGCGCCACCGGGCCTCAGGACCGGATGACGTCCCACCCGCATTGTTCAAAGATGGGGGTGAAGTTCTCAGTCAGTACTCATCTGATCTGTTTGCCTGCATTTGGGAAAAGGAGTCTGTCCCAAACTGGGGAGAGGAGGCGGTGATAGTGCCCATTTTCAAAAAAAAGGGCTCGTAGTGAGTGTGGCAACCACAGGGGGGTCGTAACGAGACTGTTGACGTTACTGGTGCTTCGTCGCCTTATGGTGGCTCGTGAAACACCAACTCGAGAGCAGCAAGCGGGATTCCGGCGCGGTAGCGATTGCGTTGACCAAACACTCATACTTCGTTAGGCGCTAGAACAACGTCATACGTATGTGACCCTCAATTCTAGTGTTCCTGGATTTTCAAGGCGCATTTGATTCGGTTGGTCGGTCTATTCTGCTTCATACGCTTGCCCATCAAGGAATGCCTCGGAAGTTTGCAAACATAATACGTTCTTTGTATTCTCAGACTTCCGGACGTGTGACTATACAGAAAGCTCTCCAAAAGCTTCCGTACACAAAGTGGTGTCCGTCAGTGGGACCCATTCT